CCATAGAGGTTGATACGATGCAATTAATGGCTACATCTCCTCTTACGATTGGGGTCAACCTTTTCCAACTATGATCTTATACAGTCGTATATATGTTTTTTGATGCACCTATCTTACAGTTTTAACCTATGTTTCTAAAATTCGCTTTTTCAATTCTAGTTTTCTTTCTTGAGTTACTAAAGAAATGAAAACCTTGATTTTTGAAAAACAAAAAGCTCACGTAATTTATAAGTCAACCAAAACTCTAATCCACAATAGGRAATTTTCTTTACTGCGGACACATTGTAAAGATGAGCCTAAAAAATGTTTCAGACGTTTTGGATCTGATGCGAAAAAGTCATTAAGTAAGGATCTTCAAAGTTTTTGGGACTTTGTCAGGAAACTTCGTTCTAAACTTCTATACTCTCCTTTATTAACTCGGTATACACTGCTAAACGAAATTATGTAGACTTAGCTGATCTCGTCATGTTGCAATTTGGTTTACCTCATAATTGTTATTTCTTAGTTCGGGATATTCTTGATGAGCTCTTCTYRTCGCGAAGCAGCAAATCTGTTGGTCCTGATAGTTTTTCTCGTACTTTTTCATTCAAAATTCGTTGTATAATTGCTTACCACTTATGGCTCCTCTTTCGTCRTTCCTTAGATGAAGGGAATTTTTTAGATCTTTGGAGGAAACTTCATTCTATCACTCCGGTCTACAAGCCCTATACCTATATATAACAGTAGCAGTTCAGTCGGACGGTTAAGTTCAACACGGGCACACAGTCTTTGCACCGATCTTTTTCACTCCATTATCTCTGAGCAACTCGTTGAATTATTTTTATTACGATCATTATTATAACATTGTACCTTTATTTACAAAGGTATTATGAACAACAAAAACGGTCAGAAACCGGCCCTAGTGTCGCAAGTATGCCCAAATCCACAAAAGGATATGTCATGATCGTCATTGTCGTCACATCCAAATGATGAGGAATCCAAAAAGTTTGTTTCACTAAACCGATTAGCCGTTCTAGAATTTGAGKAGAACAACGCAATCAAACTCGACTCCAAGGGTGATGCTTCCGATGCAATTGACGAATTCAATGTTCTCAGTGAACATGACAACTCAAGGTGAACCTACGGTTATATCACTAAATACTGCTACCATCCCTTACRCTGTGATTTACACCAAAGAAAAAAGCACCATAGCCATGTGCACCCTTTGCACGGGTGACCACACCTCTACAAACTTACCAACTACAAAGGATGTACAAAATATAACGCACTGCTCAAACCATCGCAAGTTAACTTGCTCAATTTTACGAAATCTAAACACAGTACTGACATATAATATAAACCATCACCTCACCCTACCAAAGCCTCCTACCCTTCCGTTATTGATTCTAATAAAACTCACTTATCAAATAATTCCACAAACGATCACATTCTTTCCAAATTTATTTCAGAATTTTTT